AACATTCATTGCTATGCGGATGACAGCACTGGTGATGCTCTATACACCGGCCGTGCCAATATTTCTCGGAAAACGTCGCTGAGTACCGGAACAAACTTGTGTCTGAAGTCGAGTCTTTGCTGAACAAAGTCTCGGATTGGGGGCGACTAAATCTAGTCCAATTTAATCCTCAGAAGACACAAGTTTGCGCGTTTACCGCTAAAAAGAACCCCTTTGTCGTATGTCCTCAGTTTCAAGGCACTCCCCTTCTTGCCTCAGCCAGTATCGGTATCCTCGGAGTCGACATATCGAGTGACGTGCAGTTTCGTGGTCACTTGGAAGGGAAGGCCAAATTGGCCTCTAAAAAGCTTGGCGTGCTCAGCAGAGCGGGACATTATTTCATGCCGGCACACCGCCTGCTACTTTACAAGGCGCAAGTTCGGCCTCACATGGAATACTGTTCCCATCTCTGGGCAGGGGCTCCCCAGTGCCAGCTCCTTCCACTTGACCGCATCCAACGCAGAGCGGCTCGAATTGTCGACGGCCGAGCCCTTTCCGATCGGCTCGATTCATTGGCACTGCGAAGAGATGTTGCATCCCTTTGCATTTTCTTTCGCATCTACCATGGGGAGTGCTCTGAGGAATTGTTCGGATTAATCCCAGCCGCCAAATTTCACGAACTCACATCGCGGCAGAACTCCCGATACCATCCACACCATCTGGATGATTGGCGGTCCACCACTGTGCGATATAGAAGATGTTTTCTTCCTCGCACAACTTCCTTGTGGAATCGATTACCATCAGCGATTTTTCCGGACCGATACGACTTAGGGACCTTCAAGAAAAGAGCGTACTCCTTTTTAAAAGGGCGGCAACGCATCTGCGATTCCCCTGGTGTTGCAGTTGTTCATGGGCGGCGGTAGTCACTTACCATCAGGTGAGCCGCATGCTCGTTTGCCCCCTCTCCTATAAAAAAAAAATGCCGGTAGTTGTTGGGAGCACTAAGCTCGAAGTTGTTGACGAATATGTTTACCTGGGACAAATAGTCTGACTAGGTAAGTCCAACTTCTACCGCGAGGTCAATCGACGGATTCAACTCGGTTGAGCAGCGTTCAGGAAATTACGGCACATCTTCTCGTCAGGTATACCTTAAAACTTGAAAACGAGACTGTACAAAGTTTGTACCACAAACAGTGCGTGTTGCCAGTGATGACCTATGGAACTGAGACGTGGTCCTTCACTGCTGGCCGGCTGAGGAAAGTCAAGGTCGTTCAGCGATCTATGGAGAGGGCTATGCTCGGAGTTTCTCTGTGTGATAAACTTAGAAATGAGGATATCAGCAGTAGAACCAGAGTGACCGACATAGCCCAACGGATTAGTAAGCTGAAATGGCAATGGACCGGCCATGTAGCTCGAAGAACCGACAACCGATGGGGAAAAAAGGTTCTCGAGTGGCGGCCTCGTACCGGCGGACAAAGTATAGGGCGTCCCCCCACTAGATGGAGTGACGACCAAGTCGATGGATACAGGTGGCTCAGGACCGTGCTTTGTGGTATTCCTTGGGGGATGCCTATGTTCAGCAGTGGTCTTGTGAAGGGCTGTAATGATGATGATGATGATAACGTTTTAAGAATTTTTGCTTACACACGTTGGTGGTACACGTCCCTATAGCCTGGTGGTCCTGTATTATTGATACGGCTGATACGGCCTACCCTTGTGTCAGTCTAGCATTGCTTGTTTCTCTGTTAATGTACTCTGAAAGTCAAACTTTTGCCAGTGTTAAGCAATAAAAATACTATTAAAAAAAAACCACCACAATATTTTGTTACACGACATTTCGAGGTTTTTGGGAGATTTTGACGACAACTTAACCCAACGGACAGTCGATGACGACAGTAACTCAAGTTTTAAGGCACCTAAGCTAACAATATAATATAAGGTTGATAAGGGTGACAAACGAGCACACCGTCCACCTGATGGTAAGTGGTTGCTGCGGCCCATAGACATCTACATCTATCCTCGTTTGCGAATCAAAATGCAGATGCGTTGTCACCTGTGAGGACTAAGATGGAACGCCTCATGTCCAGTAAAAAGGGTCTCCGGTTCTCTACACTCACCATACGAAACACAGCAGCATTAAGTTGCTATTTTACGCTGGTATTATGTGAGAGCGTGGTCCTTCCCCGATCGAGCCGACCCATTCGTGCTACAACTATACTACTAATATAGCTGCAGCATGGCTCTACCACGTACAAAAATCGGAGCAGTTGTATTGCCATTGAGACTACTAGTTCAAATACGCAGACACCTTATCACAAATTCGCATTACTTTTACGTTCAAAATTCACTTCAAACCATTATTTAAAAATGAACAGGAACAAAAATACGCCGAGGTCAAATTCCCTCCAAAACTCTTAACAAGCTCTTTCGGTGTACAAATGGTACTCTGTGATTTTGGTGTATTTAAAGATACTCTGTGATACTACAATCTCTTCAGTTGAGGTTTGGCGGGATCTTGACTGGCGGCGGAATGCTGCTTTTGTATTATTGTTTAAATAATAGTTTGAAAAAATTTCGATATGTAAAAGTGGTACGATTTTGTGTATTAAATGTCTATGCATGTGAACTATTAGTGGAAACGGTGAAACAAGTGCTCCGATGGTGATGTGAATCTATCAAGATAAGTTAGGCGCCTTGAGATACTATCGCCAACTGACTGCTGGCTCAAGTTACCATCCAAATGTGCCAAAAATAATGCAATGTGAGTGTGACGCATCGACATATTGTGAAGCAGTTTATTATATAGGATTGTTATCACTTGATACTGAGATACATGAAGATATGGCTTAAAAGACAAACATCCAAGCAAAAAATCCCAATAAAAATTGAGTTTTATTGAGTGTATTTTGTTATTATTTATATCATTAAATATAAGGTTTGATGTGATTATATTATCCATCCATCGATCCATTAGGCCGGCCACATACATACGGAATTCCGTTTCGGGATTCCGTTTCGATATTCCGATTCGGAATTCCTGACGCAGCAAGTCCATATAAATTATATGACCCCTCACACACGTACGGTAGTTTTCCGTTCGAAATTTTGCGGCCAAAACGGGATTCTGTATGTGTGTGGCCGACCCGTTCGGAATTCCGAAACGAAATTCCGTATATATGTGGCAGGCATAAAAGTTCACTACCGAACATAGGCCTCCTCCATAGATTGCCTTATATAAGGAGATTTTTTCCATAGTTGTCAGCTGTAAATTGTTGCGTTTGGCAGGCGGGTTGACAACTGCAGTTTTTTTTATAATTTTAAATTATTATCAGAAAGCTGTTACTGCCCATCCCCTGTTTCAGTTTCCTACTCTTGTTAGAGAGTAATTGTGTTCTGTGCACTATCGCCTCTTACGACATCTATCTCAGTGATGACATTTATGTTTTGACATTTGAAGCAGTGTTTCCACTTTTAAGGATTTCGCCGTTTTTTAGGGCGAAACCGCTCATTTAAAGGTAAAACTGAATAATAAAAAGAATGTAAAGGTGGTAACTAAGCATGGGCGTTTTCAGTTTTTGGCTGCAACGGTTACATAACCGATATTTAGTTTTCATATCGTTATTGAAAACCGTTTTCAAATATCGATATCAGTAGTAATGGTTTGTTGCTGAATGCGCAAACGACAACCGAAACATTACCGAAAACTGTAGAACCAGTGCAACATTTATTTTACAAATTACTTCGATTATTTTAGTTTAGAACTCAGAGGCTCTAATATAATCTTAGATGTAATATTTAGACATGTCTGTTAATATATAAATGTCTAAAATTACATTATTTCTATCCTTATTTATTTCTATAATGTTTATACTTACCCATTTTTTTTTAAAGTGAGACGTAGGATCAGAGTTTAATTTCAAAGTCTATAATTAAACTGTATTCATAAGTACTAAACATAATTTATATATATATAAAATTATTTAGGTACATAGTTTATTCATTAATGACTATTTAAGTTGTCGATTTACCTTCATATACTTAACTAGGCTTAGGACTAGCAGAAAAGTTTTGAAACTAATGTACAAAATGCAAACAAATATTACAAATAAAGGCACAAACGCAACGTCAAAAATTAATAATTTTACAGATAATTTCATAGTGAATGGCACACGCCACCAAAGTTAAGTGCGTAATTGTTACGTTTTGAAGAAAAAATCAAATTTATGATACCATCGCTAGAACGCGAAACAACGAGTATCAAAGGAAATCGGTTAGTTTTGGGCCGTGTTGGCATATCGTTACAGTTTGCGTTTTACGTTCCCTACGTTGGTTTATCGATATAATATGATATTTGATAACATAACGTTATCAGTTACGTTTTGATATCATCGATCTCATGCCTAGTGGTAACACTTTTAACCTAGACATAGAAAATATGATGAATTTTACGCCCTAAATCAAGGATTTTCGGAGAATAATTTGAGCTATTTAGGGCAATTGTCAAAAAAATCTAGGGCAAAATTAAAACCTGATAGTGGAAACACTGATTTGAAGCCATCTATGTTATTGGAGTTTTGGCGGGAACTTGACCGGCGGCGGTTTGCTGCTCCTGTATTATAGTTTAAATAATAGTTTGAAGTGGATTTTGATATGTAAAAGTGGTGCGATTTTATGTATTAACTGTCTACGCATGTGAACTATGAGTGGAAACGGTGAAACAGGTGCTCTGATGGTGATGGATTCTCAAGATAAGCTGTTTGTCTGCATAGGTGCCTTGAGATACCATCGCCAACTGTCAGCTGTCTGCTGGCTCAAGTTGATGTCAAAATCTCCCAAGAGCTGCACAATGTGATGCATCAACATATTGTGAAGATGTGAACTATGAAGGATAATTATACATTTTGCATTTGGGGAAATTATAATAAACCGAATAAAAATACTCAAAACTTGGCCTAAAGGTATAGATACCAGCCCATAAACTCCAAAAAAAAAATATCTATGTCATTTAGTCATTTGAGTTTGACATTTTGTTTGATATTATCATTGATTTATTGATTTGATTTCACAAACCCAATATAATGCTATATAAACACTCACGTTTGATTTGAGTATGTTATAAAGTAATAATGTATGCTTTGAGTTAGTTACTGAGCTAGTTTTAGTCGCCGAGTTCATTATATAACTGGACTGGAGCTGGACATTTGAATTTTGACGACCTATTAGTCAAAAAATGATCGGAACCTACGCATTTTGTTTAAAAAAATATGAATTGATTTTTGGATTAATAATTATCTCATCGATTAGTGTTTTAGCAACAAATGTTTGCAATTTTAACGTGAGGGTCAAGCAAACTTTGATAAATGAAGGATTTCATAGGTAGTTTATAGTTTAATCATTAAATGTTACAAAATATCCAAAAAATATTAAAAATATTGGTTATTTATTCATATAAAGCACAATATACAAAATATACTCTTACCTACTTAGAAACTATGTACCAAAGTTAAAAAAATGAAAATTATATCATGTATAGTGGAAAGAAAAATTCAATTAAGTGGTAGATATACTTAACTTGATTAGTGCATGAGTATTCTTTTTTATATATTAAAATGTTTAAAAATTCTTGTAATAATTTATTATAGTAAGTTTTCACCATTAATTGGTAATTATTTATAAAAGAAATATGTAAAGTGCATTATCAATTTTGATCTCAATGCAAGAACATCTTGTAGGTAATTTTGTAAAAGTCAAATGTAAAAAAAAATTATCATCAATAAGAGTCCGTAAAAAAGTACATTATACGACATGGCTTATTTTCATTGTAGAAATTATTTGGGGTAAACAAAAAAATCTTACACCTGACACTGAATCTGGCTAGACAATGTATTTTATATCTGATATGGTGATCATTTTACCTCTGTCTAGAAATAATAATAACATTATACGGTTTATCTTATTTCATTTATTGTAAAAAAAACACAGTATAAGGTGGGATGATAAATCTTTAGTCTCTCCATATTTTTGTCTAATAATTAATTAAAAGTAATCAATAATAAATCATGATAAATCTTTCTTTGTTTCAGAAATATCACATATGGTATTGTATTTAACACTGAGAACGACGATGAGAGGTGGCTGTATGAAGATTGTATTGTTGGTTTAGAACAAGAACTGCCATCTGGTGTATTCACTAACCCAGATGAATTAAGTGACTTACGACGAAACAAAAAGGTATTACTTTAAAAAAAAAGTACCTATTTTTTAGTACATAGTGATCAAAAGGAATTCATCTAGCAGACAAACAGATAAATTATTACATATTAGACAAGAGAACAGAAAAATTATTTTAGTATGTCCACTACATATTAAATCAAAAATAATTCATTTAGAAAGACTTGACTTTTACTGATGTAATAGTAAACCTATGTAAAATTAGTAAAATTAGTTTGAAGCAATAGAATAGAATAGAATGATTTTTATTCAATATTGATTATAACATAATACTTATTGAAAATCATTTTTTATTTACCACTGGTTTGGAAAATACCTCTGTCCTGGGAAGAACCAGCAAGAAACCCAGTGAGACTTTTTTTAAACATAATTTCACTTAACAATAATTTCATTTATACAATTTTAAATGTATTTGTGTAGAACTAGCATGGTGGCGATCACCTTATTACAAGGGGTTATTTTCATTCATGTATTCCTTGATATTATAATAACCCTTTTTGTACAGTTTTTCTTTAATAAAACTTTTAAACTTGTTTATTGACAAACTTTGAACATGTTCTGGGATTTTGTTGTAAAAGTGTATATATTGCCCCATCAATGAGTTACTAATTCTGTGGAGTCTAGTAACTGGTATTACAAGCTTATGTTTGTTCCTAGTGTTTAAGGTATGAACATCCCTATTCTTATTAAAGCTATTTATGTTTTTATGTACATACATTACATTTTCATAAATATATTGCGATGCCAAATTTAATATCTTTATTTCTTTAAATTTTTCTCTGAGGGACTCTTTACAATTTAGGTTATAAACCGCCTCTCTTTTGCAAAACAAATATAGCTTCAATATCAGTCACATTACCCCATAGCAAAATTCCATAAGACTACACTATGAAAGCAACTAAAATACACTAATCTAACTGTCTCAACATCTGTGAGACTTCTAATCTTTCTTACAGCATATGCTGCAGAACTAAGTTTGCTTGCTAATTTAGATATACGGGGGCCCCATTGAAGTTTCTCGTCAATAGTAATACCAAGAAAACAGTGGTATCCACAAGACTCAACTCCTCCCCATTTAAGAGCACATTGGTTTTCGAATTATTTACATTAGGTATTGTAAATTTAATACATTTTGTCTTATTGCCATTTAAGAGGAAATTGTTAAAATAAACATGTTCATCACATGTTCTCTAATTTTGTTCTTGATCTATAAGGCATGGTGGTTTTGTAATAAGGTTTTTCTCCACTTTAGAGCATATTTTAGCAATTACATTAGTGCTTCCACAAATCGAATTTGATATGCTTTTAGCTCATACTACATATAAATCATTTTATTTAAATTTTTATGATATTCAAACTCAAACATTATATTTGAATTATTCGATTTGATTTCATTGTTGATTTTGCTAACCCTTTTCATTTTTAATCATATGTTACACTACTTAAATATCCACATAACCAATTCCTAAGAGATTTCTTATCATGAAGGATGAGTTTTTTAACGGACATGATTTCAATATGGTGATAGCACAAGAAACATAATCACCTTATCTCATCTTATTTGTGTGGTAAGAGGTGACTAAAGAAAAGAACCACTAAATCTGGTGGCTTTCGGTAAACTACCGTATAACCGTATAATATAAATTTTTAACAGTGGTAGAGCCACGCGGCAGCTTTTGCTGTCGCACGGATGGGCCGGCTCGAACCGGGGTGGTACCACGACCTCACAGAAAATCAGCGTGAAGTAGAGGTTTACCTCTGTGTTTCGCTTCGTGAGTGCAGGTGGCCGGAGGCCCTTTTTACTGGAATGAGGCATTCCATTTTAGTCCTCACGGGTGACAACGCATCTACATTTTGATTTGTAATAGAGGATAGATGTAGATGTCTATGGGCCACAGCAACCACTTACCATCAGGTGGACTGTGTGCTTGTTTGTCACCCTTATCCCATAAAAAAAATAACCATCTAATATTTATTTATAGACATCACTATCACCACACTCAATATAAGTTCATTGCTGATCATATACTTCCCCATAGATTGTGTAATAAGAGGGATATTTGCAATAGTTGCCATGCTTGTCAACTGTGTGTAGTGGCCGACAACTGTAGCTTATTATTTTATTGTTTTTATTACGAAGATGCTGCTGCCCACACCCTGGTTTATTTTCCTATGTCGCCTCTTATGACATCTACGGGACGATATGGGTTGAGGATATTCTTGCATAGTACCTCTATCCTCAACATTAATGAAATATTTCATTCATAAAATATTTAAATTCTCAAATCAGTGCTGTCTCTGTAAAGAAGCATCAAAACTACCAAACGTCTGACACAACCATCACCAATATATCTATGAAACTTGATTATATCAAATACATATAATATATGCATATTTTTATAATTACAGGCTAAAGGCATTGCATTATAGGCCCCAGAGGTGACTCTGTAGTCTTCTTTATTTGTAGTTGGTTTCATGTGCATGGATTTCTGTAGTCACTTACCATCAGGTGGACTGTGAGTTGGTATGTCATCTTAGTTTTAATAAAAATAATACTCACGATTGGTCCTTTAAATAACTTTTTTATTGCCTACCAGAGGACTCACATCTATGACTGTTCCCCATTGTCTTTACATCTGGCGTAGACAAAATGCTTAAACTGCCGTATATTATATTTATATTATTTCTGTTATATTGTGTATTTTCAGTTAAATGCATTTCCACAAAATCGTGTGAATGTGGAACTGCCTGCAGAACAGTCCAGCCCTAACAAGGTGTATATAACTGGAAAGGTCATAGATGAAAAAGTCAACCTTTGGTTGCCAGTTCATGCAAGATATTATCAAGCTGTTTCCGGTGGAGGGTAATGTAATATACTAAAAATTAATGTTATTTAAGTTGACACTAAGACTATACATTTGCCCAAGGATAATGAGTAATATTCCTATATGCAAATATGATAATGATTTCTTATATTTATGCGAACATTACACATTTAAATAAAACATACATGATCCATAATTTTTGAATCATCATCATCATGGATGTTATCATGCCTGGGCTGCGGCTTCGGCGACTCGGGATGTAAACACCAGCACACTTAAAAAGAAGTATAACTTCGCCTCCAGGTCCTTCAAAAGAGTTATTGCCAAGGCAAAGTCAGAGCACATAGGCAGAATTGGCGAGAAACTAGTTTGCCTTCCTTCGGGAACCCGTGCATTCTGGTCTCTCGCCAAGGCTGTCCAAGGGAATTTCTGTAAGCCATCACTACCATCTCTGCACAGGGAGGACGACTCACTGGCCCAAGACCCAAAAGACAAAGCTGACCTTTTAGGCTTCCTTTTTGCGTCCAACTCGACTCTTGATGACGGGGGGAAAACACCGCCGATCATCCCGCGGTGTGAGTGCTCCATGCCGGATGTGCTGTTCTCACAGCGCTCGGTTCGCAAAGCACTTCTCTCCCTGGATATCCAGAAGTCGAGTGGGCCTGACGGAATCCCCCCAATTGTGCTGAGGACGTGTGCTCCGGAGTTGGCACCGGTCCTAACGCGTCTTTTCCGGTACTCCTACTCCCAAGGCGTAGACCCGAACTCATGGAAGACAGCTTTTGTCCACCCGATCCCTAAAAAAGGCGACCGCTCAGACCCGTCCAACTACATGCCTATCGCCATCACCTCCTTGTTCTCCAAAATAATGGAATCCATTATAAACTGCCAGCTCATGAGGTACCTTGAGCATCCCCAGCTGATTACTGACCGGCAGTACAGTTTTCGTCGGGGTCGATCAGCTGGTGATCTTCTGGTCTACCTGACCCATAGATGGGCGGAGGCAGTAGAGTCCAAGGGGGAGGCGTTGGCCGTTAGTCTGGACATTGCGAAGGCCTTCGATCGGGTTTGGCACAAAGCGCTTCTTTCGAAGCTCCCTTCCTATGGCCTTCCCGAGAAATTGTGCAATTGGATCACCAGCTTCCTTGTAGATCGGAACATCAAGGTTGTTGTAGACGGTGCATGTTCTTACTGCAAGCCTATTAACGCTGGTGTTCCACAAGACTGTGTGCTATCACCAACGCTGTTTCTTCTGCATATCAATGATATGTTGCTAACTGGTAAAATTCATTGCTATGCGGATGACAGCACTGGTGATGCTCTATACACCGGCCGTGCCAATATTTCTCGGGAAAACGTCGCCGAGTACCGGAACAAACTTGTGTCTGAAGTCGAGTCTTGGCTGAACAAAGTCTCGGATTGGGGGCGACTAAATCTAGTCCAATTTAATCCTCAGAAGACACAAGTTTGCGCGTTTACCGCTAAAAAGAACCCCTTTGTCGTATCTCCTCAGTTTCAAGGCACTCCCCTTCTTGCCTCAGCCAGTATCGGTATCCTCGGAGTCGACATATCGAGTGACGTGCAGTTTCGTGGTCACTTGGAAGAGAAGGCCAAATTGGCCTCTAAAAAGCTTGGCGTGCTCAGCAGAGCGGGACAGTATTTCATGCCGGTACACCGCCTGCAACTTTACAAGGCGCAGGTTCGGCCTCACATGGTATACTGTTCCCATCTCTGGGCAGGGGCTCCCCAGTGTCAGCTCCTTCCACTTGACCGCATCCAGCGCAGATCGGCTCGAATCGTCGACGACCGAGCCCTTTCCGATCGGCTCGATTCATTGGCACTGCGAAGAGATGTTGCATCCCTTTGCATTTTCTTTCGCATCTAACATGGGGAGTGCTCTGAGGAATTGTTCGGATTAATCCCAGCCGCCAAATTTCACGAACGCACATCGCGGCAGAACTCCCGATACCATCCACACCATCTGGATGATTGGCGGTCCACCACTGTGCGATTTAGAAGATGTTTTCTTCCTCGCGACTTCCTTGTGGAATCGATTACCATCAGCGATTTTTCCGGACCGATACGACTTAGGGACCTTCAAGAAAAGAGCGTACTCCTTTTTAAAAGGCCGGCAACGCATCTGCAATTCCCTCCCTGGTGTTGCAGTTGTTCATGGGCGGCGGTAGTCACTTACCATCAGGTGAGCCGCATGCTCTTTTGCCCCCTCTCCTATAAAAAAAAATCATTACAGCTCTTCACAAGTCCACTGCTAAAAATAGACCTCCCCCAAGGAATGCCACAAAGCACAGCCCTGAGCCACTTGCATACATCAATTTCCCGTATGACTTACCAGGTCATCACTCCATCTAGCAGGGGCCACCGTACACTTTGCCTACCCGTACTAGACTGTCACTCGAGAACCGTTCTTCCCCATTGGTTGTCGATTCTTCAAGCTATATGACTGACCCATTGCCACTTCAGCTTACTAATCTGTTGGGCTATGTCGGTTACTCTGGTTCTACTGCAGATATCTATAAGTTTATCACACAGAAACGCCAAGCATAGCCCTCTCCATAGCTCGCTAAGCGACCTTGAGCTTCCGCATACGACCAGCAGTAAAGGACCACGTCTCAGATCCATAAGTCATCACTGGCAACACACAATCATGCTAAAAATCTATTTTTAAATAGACAAATCAAATTCTCATTCACACATTTCAGAATGTGCTTCAGTGTCCTGTCAGGTCAGAACCGTCTCTTAAATATTTTATTTTATTTTAAATCTAAAATGAGAGAACAATAAATGAGAAAAAAATTAAAATTCCTAGAGTATTTAAATAAATCTTGTCATGTTGTCATCATCATTTTGAATTATAATTATTTTTAGTTTTCAATTAGTGTAAAAGTGATAGTGTAGAAAATCTACTTGGCTAATACTGGGCAAAGAGTAATAATTGCTTGTTGGAATATAAAACAACAACATAAATGTATGTACAGTAGAATCAAAACATTACAAAAAATGTCATGAAAGAAAAACTGACTACATTTAGTTTAGTTTTTAACTTTAATCTTTATAATTTCAGTAGTGTAGTAATTGTAGATTATTTTAAATTAAGACATTGTTTGAATTAATTTGGTGGTTATTGAAATAAAATTATTATTATTAATATTAAAAATAAATCAAAATCAACCTTTGATTTTTAGTACTGCAAGGAACGAGATTGAACCTCCGACACTGTTCCTTCACTGTCCAGATGAAAGGCTAGAGTTATGCGGTGCAAACAACGCACAAGCCGCATTTTTATGCAACGGTAGTCCAAGAGAGAAGTGCAAATGGAAAGAAATACCATATACAATGGTATGCGTTGATTAAATAATTTAAGATTAAAACATCTAAAGTGTAATTATATTAGCCCGTAGTACCTGAGAAGGATGGGGAGAGCAAGTGAACTGTATTTACTAAATCTGACTGACTGACTGACTAACAGAAAAAGAGACTGACAAATGAGTTAACTTTTTGACTGCCTAGCTACTTGACAAACTATTATAGTATGGGACTGTTTTATTGAAAGAATGATGTAGTGACTTAAGAAACAATTTATTAAACTATTTACAATGATCGCGGCAATTATTTATTAATTACTTGTTACGGCCTACGGCTGATCCAGCAAGAGTCAAATCCTCTGGGGCCCATGAGCAGAAGACTTCACGAGCAGACATAGGTCGGGCCTCAATATGGCCACGTGGAATATGTTCTATCACAATAAACTATATTGGAGAAAGCTAGAAACACATAGTACTTACCATTATCCGAAGCTAACTTCGCACCAAGGCTTGGGCAGGCCGTGAGTGTGTGTAATAGTGGATGGCGAGTAGTGTACAGTGATGTGTGAATGTGTGGGGCCTTGGCAAGCATAGGCGACCAGCAGCGGCCGAGTTCCAGGCTGCTCCAAAATACTGCATCGCTCTAGACTGCTTCAGCGCCGGACCACTTCTTTCTTCACTGTCACTACTCAGTCTCTCAGCTTCATCGTATATTTAACTAACTTCAATTCGCCTAATTCCACACTCATCGCAGAATCAAACATGTGATATCAGACACGGCAAGGACAGTAGCACAAAAATCGACATTGAATGTCCCGGATTCCCTTATCACAAATTATAAATTCGGCACCAGAATAACACGTCGCGCCAGAGTCAAAATACGCCTCGTTGACACGCAAATTAATCTAACTAGGCAACCAAAACACAAAAGGGGCACTAAACGCGCCGACACAATTATAATGATATCTTGATCTAGCTATCTAAATAGAATTTACGTAAGAGGCCTGACGGCCCTCGTGGCCGGCGGGGCACCGACCCCTCGACCACGCGTTGAGCGATAGACTGCCACGCAGCCTCCCTACCTCGGCGTTTTTCTCACCTACATACCAAATCAGGTGAGGCGATAGCTCGAACGCCATTGGAGGGCGTACAAATTACCTTTTTTGCCTAAACATTACTAATTAACTATAGGGAGCACTAGAGGGATTCACTTTCTTGATTATTTCTTCTTTTTCTTCTGGGAGCTCTTCCTTTGCCGCGAATGTGAATGAATTTCGTCGGTTTTTCTTTGCGCCCAATGCAAGGCACCCTCCGGAACCGGGGGAGGGAGGTGGTGAATGCTCATAGCATACCACGACAGTCGGCATGCGTGGTTATGTGGGACTCACTTTGAAGAAGTGCCTACCCACTAAACACCACCTGTGGGACTGGCATTGGCCTGTATGAACTATTTCTGCCGAATCAGAAGCGACCCCTTTTAGGGAAAAATGCGCAGAAATTTCGCCGGCCAGGTGCTTGTTTTATATTCCCGCGACGGGACTCGCGCAGTTCACGGTCTCAAACGCGGACTTGAAGCACCCTGATAGGTCGCGCGCATCGTACGATTATGTCGTGGTACGGGGTGACGGGGCGGCGGCACCTCTCGCCGTCCGTAACGGTACCTTTTTAATGACAACGAAAATAACGAAGCGATCATGACAATGCCATCTGAACTTTTAGTCGAGGTGGACTGTATGCTCATTTCTCATTCTTACTATGATATAATTACCTATAATCACAGAACAAATAATAGCTATAATTCAAGATAGCGACATATAGATAGCATTTTACCACATTTCCAGTTTTCAGCAATTTTTGAATCATTAAGTCTCTAGGTCATTAGGAATTCAGTTTAAAATCGATTGGTACTATACTATATTTCGATTGCACATGACAGAGTTATAGTGCATGATAGTATGTACAAGTACAGGTGCGCTATCCATTCCCTGTAGAGATAGTTCAATGGGTCGGCAAACCGACACGGCTGAAGAGAGATCAGGTTCAGGACCAACAGCTTTTACATGCTTTGCGAGACACGAGTATGTAACACTGCCAACATCTTTTCTCCAGGCCGCTACCGTTACATCTTATTAAAGTTTAGTTTGCTGAACATAGGCGTCCCCTACAGATTGCATAATAGTGGGGATATTTGCCATAGTTGACACGCTTGGCAAGCGGGCTGGCAACCACAGTATTCTATTTTTAGTTGTTATTGGGAAGACCCTGCTGCCCATCTCCTGATTAGTTTCCCACTGTCGCCTCTTACGACACCTGCGGAATGATATGGGATAGTGGATATTCTTACACCGCCATTACACAGTCTAACTCCAGGCTGCTAGTGAGAATATCCTTTAGCTTTTTGGCCTGATCGTGGATTCGAACCCGGCACCTCATGGTCAGCAGTCACGCTTACGACCACTAGACAAGCGAAGCAAGTTAGTGTTCATTATGCGCAGCATTTTTTTAATAAGTACACAACATTATTTAATAAGGGTAAATGAGCACACAGTCCACTTGATGCTAAGTGGATATTGTGGCCCACAAGCGCCTACATTTATTCTCGACTAAGCATCAGAATGCAGATGTGTTTTCACCAATGAGGACTTAGATGGAATGCCTCTTAGCCAGTAAAAAGGGTCTCCGGTTCATTTACCATACGAAACATTTAGCTGCAATTTTATGCTGGTTTTTGTGAGAATGGTGTCTTACTACCTTAATACAGCTGCAGCATAGTTCAACCACGTAAAACACGATACCGTGTCGACCAAAGTTATTCATCATTTAACATATTATGTATATTTGGTTTTATCAACTTTTTTAAACATCTATGTTATATTTCAGATGACTGACACGCTAATTTGGGACGTGCCTGTTGGTAATACGGATCATTATTACTTGGTAGCTATGGGCACAACCACTGTCATAGTGGTAGGCTCACTATATTTATTGAAGACTATACACGAATACCAAATTAGTCATCGCAAGAAGAAATTGTGAGATAGGGTTACACTAGGAATAAATAAGGGTGAGGGAGACAGATATATAAAGTAAAGAGGGCAGAAAGACACAAAGGACTGCTTGTAAGCGTATTGGGTGTTGTATGTAATTAAATCATTGTGATGTTACCAAGTTCAGTATTAATTCATGTTCTTTCATTTATACTCCAGCTAACAAGCTAATAATAGCCTTAACCAAAATTATAGTGTTAGCAAATAAATGGCCTTCCTTTATCGATCTAATAGCAGCTTTTCACTCTCATATTCTAATAATCCTACCCCATACATATAGAGTATGTATATTTTTTAACTAATATTTCAAGAATAAACATGTTTTTTTTCTTTGGTAATGGACTCGGACAGTTGTACTTTTGCCAGTGTCAAGTAATAGAAAATTATCGTTTATAATTACTTGATCGAAAACTTCTCCACAGTATGTCGATTCATCACATTGTAGTGTTTGGGAGATTTTGAGATCTTAAGACAGTCGATGACGCGAATCATAGAAAATAACGCGTGATTTATATTAACATCGGAGCACTTGTTACAAGTAGTGGTGGTGTAAGAATATCCACTAACGCATATCGTCCCGTGGGTGTCATAAGAGGCGACAGAGGGAAACTGAAACAGGAGGTGGGCAGCAGCATCTTTTTGATAACAACTCAAAACAATTAAAACTCCGGTTGCCAACCCGCCTGCCAAGCGTGGCAAGTATGGCAAAATTCTCCCAATGAGGCTATACATAGGTGAGGCCTATGTTCAGCAGTGCACTTTCATAGACTGTAATGGTACTCGTAATGGACTTGTTTCGTAATTTCTACTAATAGTTGACGTGCGCAGATATTTATTAGGGGCCATCCATATAAACGAAATAGCAACGAAATGTGACAATCAAGGGACGGAAGGTAAAAGCTAGATGACGTCACATGTTAAAATATAAATACTAAAACTCGAAATATATACGAGGGTGGATTGAAAAGTACTCGGCCTAACCAAGAAAATAAACACATACTAAATCAGTTATATTTTTATTTTTCTACAAAATCACCATCAAGTTCAATACACTTTTGCCACCTCCCCTTCCAAGCATTTAGACCGTTGAAAAAAAAATGATTCTTCCTTAGAGTCAAAATATGCGTCTACAGCTGCTTTGACCTCGTCGTTTGTCGAAAATCTTTGACCTCCCAAGTGCTTTTTTAGGTTAGGGAACAGAAAGAAGTCTGATGGTGCCAGATCAGGTGAATACGGCGGATGCGGTAACAGTTCAAAGCCACAGTTGTGAATTTCAGCCATTGACTGTACTGACGTGTGAACACGGGCGTTATCTTGATGAAACAGGACTTTTCTTCTGAGCATTCCTCGACGTTTTTCTTTTATTTCCTCTCGTAAATGACGTAGTAAGGTGCAGTAGTAATCAGAGTTTATATTCTGACCCCTTTTAAGATAATCAATCATAATCACACCTTTCGAGTCCCAGAATACTGAAGCCATCACCTTATTTGCCGACAAAATCGACTTAGCCTTTTTAGAGGTTGGTGAACCAGGTCTTCTCCACTGTTTTGATTGTTGTTTTGTTTCCGGTGTACAGTAAGGAACCCATGTTTCGTCCATAGTAACAAAACGATTCAAAAAATCATCTGCATCGGCTTCAAATAACTCCAAACAGTCGCGTGAAATAGTCAATCGCGTCCTTTTTTGTTCAACTGAAAGCAGTCGCGGAACCCACCTCGCAGACACCTTGTGGAAACCCAACTCGTTGACAATGATGTTTTGAGTTCATTCATAAGAGATGCCTATAATCTCGGCTATCTCTCTAATTTTTAATCTGCGGTCTCCCATTATTAAATCAAGTACTTTTTTAATATTTTCGTCAGTAGTTGACGTCGAAGGCCTTCCAGAGCGGGGTTCATCTTTCACACTCTCTCTACCACGCTTAAATTCTGCTATCCATTTTTTGACGGATGAATATGACAGAGCACAATCGCCTAATGTACTGACCATGTCATCATGGATGGCTTTTGATGATAGCCCCTTCTTATGGAGGTACTTAATGACGGCACGCTGCTCGATTTGCTCCATTCGCGGAAATTATGTCCGATTACTTTGTTAATAAATTTATAAAATCACAACTAATTATCGCACACGTTTCGAACTTCACACAATGAACTAGTCTGAACTGAACTAAATAATGTGGATAGATTTGATTTTTAGAATTGAATGGATCTGTGTTAGGCCGAGTACTTTTCAATCCACCCTCGTATGTAAGTAAACCAAATGAGTACTTAAAAATATTACTACTACACAAGATGATTAAGTTTTGTATCTTTTATTAACATTATTAATCGTTTATCGTTCTTTAATTGATTAAAGTTGGTAAAAATTATATTGCGTATATAATATAATGGGTTTCCGCAAAGTAACGCCTGATTCTCTTAGTTATTTAATTGGTATTTCATTTTGTATCCAAAATATTTGACTTTATTTTGATTTTATTAGATATTATTTTTAATTTAAATTAAAAAAAATTGGAAAAACTGCCGTTATAATTTAATTACTCTGAAATATAACATTGAAAAATATGAAATAATAAAATTGAAAAATAAGACACTATCCCCCTGGAGACGGGGTTTCACAACTGTGACCACCTGTAACGGGGATTGGGGGGAGGGGGTCAAAAAAACAAAGTTTGTGTGACGTAATTATATAAAAAAGCTCTTTCCGAGTGTTACAGAAAATCTGATGCCGAAGAACTCATAAAGAATGCCTCATCTTATTCTTCTTCGCCACCTCCCTCTATTGGTTGATCTCTAGAATGATGCATAGCATACACTGAAGAGGAAAGCGACAATGATCATGGCCAAAGCATTCGTCAAACAACTATAATTCGTGAAATGTATCCTAACTATCAAGAATAAATCAGCTATTTGTGCGCCTAGTCTTTGCCAGCCCTGAACTATTTTTTATATTGAGAGAAAATTACGAGGTATATGGACTTGGGATAATACGGAGCAATAGACTTAGAGGCGTAGAGATAATTTTACCGTCGGAAAATGTTTTCAAAAAAAGCCTCAGGGCAGTTATGGTGAAGAGTTTCCATACAAAAACTGTATATCTGTTGTCGGTGATAAAAAAAGCCTTATAAGTCTACGCCACGGCCTAACCAGTTCATAAAATTAAAAGGTATTGCAAAGAATGGCGTAGTAAAGAAAATGTAGACTGCTTGCAGATATTGAAGGAATATAATAAGCACATTGGAGGGGTGGACCTTGCGGATAAACTTTACTCTTTATACAAGACCTTTGAAAAACCCGGCGCTGTTATATTGGAATCTTGGCTTGTTTGATAAATATTTGTATCAACAATGCTTGACTTTTATACAAGCCAGACCAGGCCACAATTTCCTCTCAGGCTACAACGCCATTGAAAAATTTCCGGTTTGATATTTATGAAGGTTTGCAAAAAACAGGTAGATCTGAGACTTCAGTAGAAAACGGAGAAGGTAAAAAAAGGGGAGACAGCTTACGCAAGATGCACCGATCCAGGATGTGAGATAGTATGACAATGTAGGCCATTTCATTGACAAGTGTCAGGTACGGTTGTGTTTTGTTACTGGCAAGAACCCGCGAAATGACCAACTTGATTTTCATTTCAAAATTAATAATATTTTTATTATTCCTAAAATAAAATACGATTTTTTCTTAATTTACAGTTTTATTTTAACTTATTTGTCACTCCCGTATATTGGCCAAGTATGCAAGATACATCAAAATGATTATTTATATTTTAATACAGTTGGCAGTGTATACCAGGTTATACATAGTTTTTTTTTTAATGTAATAAATAGAGATTTTTTTTTAAATATTTTTTAGTTCTTTATTTATTTAGGTATCTAAATTCCAGTCCTATTCAAGGAATTTATATTTTTAAGAATTTTTTGTCTGCCAATTTAAGGGTGCTTCTTGAAACAGAAACAGAAACAGAAACTTTTTTATTCAATATAGATTATAAATAATACTTATTGAAAGTCACTCTTTTGTTTGATTACCACTGGTTCGGAAAAAACCTCTGTCCTGGGAAGAACCAGCAAGAAACCCAGCGGGACTTTTTTTTAAATAACAGCTTACAATCATGATGTTTTTTTTTTACACAAATTAACAACACAACAAATTAGAAATAGCTTAGTAGCGATCACCTCATTTCCAGGGGTTATTATCATCTATAAATTCCTTAATATTATAATAACCCTTTTTATACAAACTTAGTTTAATAAAGTTTTTGAACTTTGAGCAGGTCAAACTTTGTATATTTTCTGGAATTTTGTTGTAAAAGCGTATACATCGCCCCAAGAATGAATTACTGACTCGATGGAATCGAGTAACTGGTACTACTCGCTTGTGTCTGTTCCTAGTATTTACAGAATGAATATCACTTATTTTTGTAAAACTACTTTTATTATTGGGTACGTACATTACATTTTCATAAATGTATTGAGAGTCAAGAGAGTTGTAGTGAGAGAGAGTAAATGTTTTTTGTCGCAGCGACTCTTTAGGCTTTAAATCATAAATTGCTCTTATGGCCCTCTTCTGTAAAACAAATATAATTTCTGTTTGATGACACTTTATGAAATGTAAAATTCTTTGTACACGCATTTACATTTTGTTTAAGTAATGATTCGGCGACGGCAGGAGATCTCTTCTGTCTTAACGTCTCTTCTAAAAGAAAATACAACAACACAAGAAGAAACAATGAAGAACACAGAAAATCTACAAACTGAGCAACGAGCTGGAAAAAACCATCACAAATAGTCTAGACCAGGATAAAGCATTAAAAACCAGTAACGAAAGACCTAAAATTATTGTCGAACAAACACGAGAACTGATTTCTAAACGTACAGAACTCCTATCTAAAAGAGAAAAATCAAAAGAAATAAGACATGAATTAAAAGAACTATACAAGACAAACAGAGCAATCAGGCAAGATTACGAAAGACATAGAAGACTAATCATGGGGAGAAAAATGGCAACATATAAAAGTTCAAAGAGAGCCTTTAAAGAGCTGTCAACACATAAAAACTGGATACAAGGTCTACAAGATGGAAAGGAGAAAACAAGAAACAGAGAAGACATAGTAAAGCGCGCAACGGCTTTCTACTCAGAGCTTTACTGAAGAACATCCCAAGATGAAACCCAAAAGGATGAACAATTGAAAATTAAACATGCAAGAAAATCCCAACTAGAAGAAGTAACTTTAACTCCTATAATGGAAGAGGAGATAGAAAGACATAAAAAGGCTAAAGTCTGAAAAAAAACCCAGGACCAGATAAAATTACAAATGAAGCTCTAAAACTTGGGTCACCTATTCTAGTATACTACCTGACGAAACTATTCAATTTAATCGTACAACAAGAATAAATACCAAAACAATTGTTCTGCTCAAACATAATACTGCTCTATAAAAAAGGAAATCCACTTGACATCAACAATTATAGACCAATTAGTCTACTATCTATCTGTAAATTGTTCTTTTCGATAATCCTAAGTAGAATAGTCCCAGAGATAGACAGAAACCAACCAACAGAGCAAGCAGGCTTCTGACCACGCTACTCAACAATGGATCACATACAAGCTGTGCAACAAATAATAGAAAAATATAAAGAATACAACATGCCGTTTACATAGCATTTGTAGATTATGCTAAGGCGTTTGACAGCATATCACACTCATCTATATGGAAGGCTTTGAGAAAAAACAAAATAAATGAAAAATACATAAGTGTGCTAAAGAACATATATGCTAAGAGGACAAGTAAAATAAAACTAGAAAGACACGGAGAAAAGTTCGATATTGGGAAAGGAGTGAGACAAGGTGACCCTCTTTCACCCACACTATGTATAGCCGCCCTTGAAGACATATTTCAAAACCTAGAATGGAAAATCAAAGGTATATGGATACTAGATAAAATACTAACACATCTACGATTTGCTGATGACATAGCTCTCTTCAGTGAATCTGCGACTGAATTAGAAATCATGCTACAGAGCCTGAACACCCAAAGCCAAATAGTAGGACTTGAAATTAATGCATCAAAAACAAAAATTATTATAAACAGCTCCAAAAAACCAATCAAAATAGAAGGAAAGTCCATTGGATATGTTGTTGATTATGTATGTTTGACTAAATAAATCAAACTGATATCTTTCGAATTAAACAGCAATGAAAAAGCAATAAACAGAAGAATAAACATAGAGTGGAAAAAACACGGCTCAAAAAGAAATTCTTAAAGTTAATTACAGCCTAAGAATGAAAAGGTTATAATGGACTCGTGTATCCTCCCAAGTCTAACATAAGCAAGCCAAACATGTATGGGGTGTATACTGAAAGAGTGAAAAACAAAATTTAGTCTTTCCAACATGCTATGGAATGAGCCATATCTTTCAGCAATTATTTTCATGATGGAGTTGGAGCTAGCCCGCACCTTGCCAAGCAAAGAAGCTGTTTTCTTAGTTCACGTAAGGCGTCGACAGACATTGAAAACTGAAAAGTATTCGACCATTAAATTATAGTATTAGTCCCGTACAAGAATACATCCTATTTTATTTGATAAATGTGGTTGAAACATGGGAGATTGAACATTTATGATTATGCATTAAAATATGTACCTCTGTCATAGAGGAATCAATCCCCCCCCCCTCCCTCTTCCGCTGGTTTTTTGACTTGTCGTGACATAGCCGTGGCTTAGTTAACCAACGGTGAACTCAGAAGAACCCACATGGTTAGCCCGAATGAAGGACCGGTCTAAGGTGGCCACTCCGAGTGGGCTTGGCAGTAATGCGGTGATGGTAGGGCCGCGGAGGAATGCTGGTTCTTCCGAGTGCTTGTTTTTACTGGTCTCATGGAATTGCGCATCGGAATGGAGGTGACCCGGTACGCAGATGAGTTGGAAGGCGCACCTTGTGTTCTGGTGCTCCTTACCTGAGAAGGAGAAGAGAGAAGAGTTGTTGTAAGGGGCTACTATGAAGAAGTCGGTGCTGGTGAGGCCCAAGGTGTGTGCGGCAGTGTTCACGTGGCCCTGCAATATGCGGCGATCGTGGAACACTATGCGGTTAAAGTCGCTGCAAGTTCAACGTAAAACGCCATTGCCTCCACAAGGCGGTTGCCTGATGATGCGTAAGCATTTACCCATGTAAAAGAAAAAAATGGAAGAATCCAATGCCCCCTTTTCGTTCTGTTGTACGATAATTTTACCCTTTGGTTTTGGAGTGTAGAGAGAAGGAGGACCATCTCTATATATGAAAAGTGTCCCTAAAACGCGTCCAATAAGGGTGGCGCTGCAGTAGCATAGGATAAATAAAAAAAGCGCCAAAAGTAATTAGAATAAGATGGAGAAATAAACAAGGACCGACCAATCCGCTTGGTTTTGTACTACGTAAATAGTTGAGATTTTGTATACTGGCATTTTACTAACTACTCTAGGTATGAAATTTTTTAAATATTTGAATTCAGCTGACTACTCCGTTCACAACAGCTATCTTCATATCGTAGTTTTTCAGACGCCAGCGCTATTGTGGTAAGGTTTTGGAACCTCTATTTTCAGTAAATAGTAGGACACTTTTTCAACTTTCGCCTCTTATAAGATCGTTCTCCTTGTACTTTACACTCTATACTTTGGTGTTTGGCGTTGGAGACGCGACTGTACGGATTGCTGCAATAGAAAGTTCATATGGCTTTCCATAGATGGCGGTGTAACCATTTCGTATACACCATTTGTAATACCTATCTGAGATTACAAATAATAAATACCTAGACTGACGCCGCGACACCTGTTACTCCTGAACACTATTGATACTCCTGCTGCTGGCAAAGCACAGCGTCAAAAGTGCGAGACTTTAGGGGATAATAATGAGGGCATCCACGACTTTTTCTGCCACCAGGGCGGCGCCACTTAAAAGTGAGGTATAATATTTGAAGGATTTCATAGAGGGGAAGTGAATTTGTTCGGAAAATGTAAAAGTTAATATTGTTAATTAGTTATATTTTATATTAACAAGATTAAAAATGCATGAATCAAACAACAGATATTCATAAAAGTAGAAAAATAAAAAAAAGTTAAAAGACGTAAAAAAATGAAAAAGCAAGTCACTGAGGCATCTACAAACTGATAAATTTACTTCTTAATTAAATGACATTGTGTAACATAAAACTTTACCTCAGTGTCAACTAGCGACATCTGGTGAGCAGAAAATTATAAGCCCTAATTATCCACTCACCAGATGTCGGTAGTTGCGACTGAGGTAAAGTTATTTATTACACAATGTGTAAAGTCTTAGAAGGAAGATTTTCATCAGTCTTATATGAAACAATTTTTTTAGTTGTCTTACCAGTAAGACTACTGGGAATATCATATGGTGAAAAGATCTGATTAAAAAAAAATCTGATTATGTAGTATGTACGACTATATTCATAAAACAAGATTCTCTAAAATATCACATCTCCGCCCACTTTATAGCTGGCGGGCTTTCAGGCCGATGAAGCTGTAAGAGCCAAAAGGCCTAGGTACAGCACTAACATCAGAAACTAGAGAATCACAAAACAATGACTCAGTGGTTGCTCTTTAATTTTAACACAAACATTTTTAACTCTCTTTAATTTCTTTATATTAGTAATATACCTAGTTTTTTTTTTCATTTTTAATGTAATTAAT